AAAATAAAGAATCATCCAATCCCAAAAAGGAAAAGATTATATATAAATGATTGTATACAAACTGAATATTATTTGGTAACATTGCAGAGATAGCCACACACACAAAAACAGTAATAATAACGGATAATGCATAAATCTGTGTCTATGTGTTGATTTCTCCCTGTCCAATTTACAATTTATAGTGTCCCCAGAGGAACAAACAAATTATATGTTACCTCATTCACACGTAATGTAAAAGCATATAAAAAAGAAAAAGAGATATCATTTACCAGAATCACACAATTGCAGAGTGAGACACAGCACAAGGTGCACAGCAATACTCTGCTTGCAAGTATAAAAAAGAAAAGAGATTAGGTATTTCCACACAAATTGATGCACCCTAGTCCAGTAGGTGTCATCAGAATTAATTTTCTCGGTGCCCAGTGTACTGAACACAGTAGCAATTATTATTATTATTAGTAGTAGTAGTAGTAGTAGTAGTAAACAAGTGATTGCCCACACTCTCTGGTTGGACCCCAGCACAGTGCTCAGCACACGGCCATGCAGCCCAGCACAGAGAGGAGCAGCAGCAGGAGTGGAACACGCAGTAATGCAGGGCTGCTGCTGCCGTCATTTAATGCCATACCACTGTTATTCGCTGCACCACTGAGTNTAGTAGTAGTAGTAGTAAACAAGTGATTGCCCACACTCTCTGGTTGGACCCCAGCACAGTGCTCAGCACACGGCCATGCAGCCCAGCACAGAGAGGAGCAGCAGCAGGAGTGGAACACGCAGTAATGCAGGGCTGCTGCTGCCGTCATTTAATGCCATACCACTGTTATTCGCTGCACCACTGAGTAAGGCATCGAGATTATCTCCGTGGATATTAATAGTAACAGTAGAACGGTAGTGCTGTCTTTGTTTCTCTTTTTGTGTTTGCTCCGTCTGATTTCCTTCTGTATGACCTTGCTGCTCACCAAGAGATGTTTTATTTGTCTGTTCCTGTGGCTGAGACTCCACCTGTATTTCTTGTGTTTCCTCCGTCTGATTTCCTTCTGTATGGCCTTGTTGCCCACCAGGAGATGTTTTATTTGTCTGTTCCTGTGGCTTTGGTTGAGGCTCCACTTGTTTTTCTTTCTTCTCTTTGGCAGCAGCAACAACTGCGGCATCGAGTTTCTGCAGGACACTCACCACCTTACCAATACACATGCTCGCTTTGTCGGCATGGATGATAGCATCATCTGCCGCTTTTTCTGCATCTTTAATTAGTTTTTCAACAGATGTCGCCAGATTATCATCATATTCTCCACGAAGAATGTTGACTAGGTCTCTAGGTGCAGCCATACTCTTTGTCGTTTGTTCGGCCACTTCATTTGCTTTCTTTGCAGCCTTCGCTACATTTTTAATGTGTTCATCACCTTTATTTTTCGTTCTCTTCACCTCTTCTGGGTCAGCAGCAATTGTTTCAAGTTTCTTTAGAGTGGTATCAACAAATTCTTGAGCTTCATCCGCGGCCTTTAGAGCAGCCTTGGCGGCGTTCTCGCACTTCTCCTTCTGCTTTAAAACCTCCTTCTCCTTCTCTTGTGCTTCCTCAACACGTCCCGCTTGACCTGAAGCACCAGCATGAGCCACACCCACACAGCAGAGCACAATGGCCAACAGACACAACACACGGCACGACAACATGGACATTCTTGTTATTAATATCGCTGAGGATCACTGCAATCTGTGTCTGT